CCAAATTTCATGAAGAATCATTGAAAACCTTTTTGGCTCNTTTTTTCCCCGCTTTCATGTTTTATCCAAATTTATTGTATTTGTTGGGATATTGTGGCTTTTCCTAATTGTTTCCTTGCATAATTGTATCTTTTTAGCAATGAACTTTAAAGAGGAATATAATTGTTATAAGGGATGCAAATCCTATTAAAAAATAGAAATACGAGATTTCTATTAGGAATATAAATTAGATCCATATTGAGAATAATATCTTATGTATTACCTATAGGGTCCGTTTGGTTCGGGGTCATATAAGATAACCAAGGTAATCTTCATTTATTTTGCAAGATTTCGTTGTTTCATTTGCAAGTAATAAAATATTACGAGTATCTTTTATTGCAAATAGTGTTTAATGTGGGTATATAGGGGGCAATCAGATACCCCCCAAGAGGTGTTATTAAAAGATTACTGAGGTAATATTATTTTTATACTTATTTTGCCCTTAATTAAATACCATTTCAGACACAATTGCCCTTAAATGTCTACTAAATAACCATTAGCCTGATCCCTACATTTAAGAATTTAGCTAAAACACTCTAGCCACAAAAAATGTTTAAAAGTTAACAAAATACCGCTAGCCACCCAAGACCATCGGCGGCCGACGGTAGCAGTTGCCGTAATGGTACACGATTTGTGGGATCTAGCTGATCGTGTGCCAGTAAGGACGTTTTTGGCCTTATCGACGCACAACCGATTGGATCCCGCCAGTCGTGTGCCATTACGGCAGCTACTAGCAGTGGTGGCTGGCTGTTGGCAATGGCTTGGGGTGGGTGGGGCTGATTTTGCTATAAATTAAAGTTTTATATGGCTGGAGTGTTTTAGCAAAATTTCAAATGTAGGGGGTTAAAAGAAATGATTCAAAAAATAATATTATATTACTATTTAAAAAGGAGAGCAATTTAGTAATCTATATAACATACCCACTCATTTATCCTCTCGACCAAACATGTTAATATAACATACTCACCAATTTATTCCAACCAATCAAACACATTTCCTTAAACATTCCCAATAATCTTCAAGGTCATATTTCTATTAATATAACATCCCTCTATAATAAAACATTATATGAATCAAAAGTGCTCATAAAAATATTTAGGGGTGAGAATCAATTCGAGGTGTGGGAGAATGTGAGAATACATGATATTTAATGTAAATGATTAATTTATTAAACATCATGGGTAGAGTGTTGTTAGAAACTGTAATTGTTTTGGCTTTAAGTACTCGGTTGAGCATTGTTAGAAACTAAGATGGTTTCTACTCTTTTAATCATGTACTGAGTTTATAGTATTGAGTACTTTTGTATACCATGTTGACAAAACTATGTCTTTAAGGACATTATTTAAAAGAGGAATAAGGAATGTGAATAATATTAGGAATGAAAAATATGAGTCTATTAGGAATATAAATTAGATTCTTATGGAAATATTATCTCACGTATCACCTTTTAATTTCGTAAGAATTGAGTAAAATGGTGTGTTGGTGGTGGGGTTTATTGTGGTGGAGATGGAGAGGTGGTAAAAGTTACATGGCAATTAATGTTCTCCAAATTCATGAGAATCATTGAAAATTTTGGCTCTGATTTTAGAGAAGGAAGTTAGGAGTGTGTTTTTCATGCTCATCCTAACCATGCCAGTTAGATTGTCCCCGATTATTGGTTTAGAGGATATCGTTTTTTTTTCTACTTTTCGAACTCAAAGGTTATCATAACTATTGAAAGATACCAAATATGATGCTTACAAATTGACCCTTAAGAAAATAATATGATTTGAAGGGGTTTATGTAACAAAAGAACTGGACGTCCTTTAAAATGAATTTGATAATACGAAGCGGAAATCCTTGTGTACTAAAACTATCGAATTTCGCGAAAGAGAGAATTTTATAAAAGATCTATTTGGAATAAAAAACTCTAAAATTTTAAACATACCTTTTGAGGTTTTTAGAAGAATTTTAAAAATATAAAAATTGGGAAGTCAGATTTCTGAAAGATGCAAAAATTACTGAAAGGATAATAATGCATCTTCTGAAGTATTGAAATTCAGTGATGAAGATTTGTTATTTTGCGCCTGTGGAATGTTTTTGGGAGTTTTTTTAGGGATTTTAGGGATTTTCTGAAACGCTTTTCTTAGGCTTTTTTATAAAAAGTTTTCACGCTTATTAAAATGAAATTCCCCAATTAGTATCCCCAAGTGGGCTTAATTCAAAGAAATATTTCAAATCTAATAAACCTTTCCATACTTACTAAATAGTGTTCCACTGTAGTGGATTTGGTCCACTCAGGGCTACTTAACGAACCGAGCCGCTCGCGAGCCGGCTCGGCTCGCCTCGAGTCTGACTCGTTAACAGCTCGGTTCGTCTAATAACGAGCTAGCTCGACTCGACTCGTGAGACAAAACGAGCCGAGTTCGAGCCATACACGGCTTGGCTCGTTAGGCTCGTGAGTCGAGCCTGGCTCGAAATAGCGGGGGGTTTTTTGAGAATTTCTGAACTATTGGGATTTAATTGAAAATAATGCAATACAAGTTTTAAAAAATAACAAAATGGCCCCCGTTATTGAAATCCCCAAATCGTGAAAAATTCGTCAGCAGTAGAACCCTTGCCGTAAAATTTGAATCAAACTCCTTCCAAAGTAACGATTTTTGGCCAGATCTTGTTCATCTTCGTCAGCTTCGCGGGATCTTCGTGGGATATTGTTCATCTTCGTCGGACCTTCGGCAGTTGTTGGATCTTCGTCATCGTCGTCTGATCGTCGTTGGAACTTCGTCTTCTTCGTACGAGCTTCGTTAGATCTGAATCTTCTTCGTCGGATATGAATCTTCTTCGTCAGATATGAATTTTCTTCGTCGGTTCGTCATCATCTTCGTGGGATTTTCGTCGGACTTTATGCGGTGAGTAGGGGGTTTCTTCGTCAGATCTGAATTTTTTTTTTTTTCTGGGTATGAGTGACATATTTGATATCTAGAGCAAGGACTTTTTTTTCCTTTTTGTGGAAGCTGAAATAATTAAGGTTTTGTTGTTTTTGAATGCTGGTTGTGCTAATTGAGAGCCAAAAGTATAGTGTGTGTTGGACTTGAGAGTGCTTTGGGAACAGCCAGAAGTGCTTTTAAATGTTCAAAAGTGGCTTTGGGTTAATTTTGTGGAGCTGGGTTTGAAATTGATTTTGAAGGAAGTGTTTTTTTAGTAGAAGTGCTTTTCATAAAAGCACTTAAGTGTACCTTTCTGAAAATGTTTATTAAGTGTTTTTTTAAAATTCACTTTACTCTTTAAGAGCTGTTTGTTGCCACGAGATAAATAGAGCATTATCTAGTGCTTCTCGCAAAAGCACTTTTTTTAAAAGCATTTTTATTGGTTTCAGCTAGACACTACAGTAGAGCTTACAGCTTTTAGCTTTTAACTATTTGACAACATTTTCCAGAGGCACTTCCCAAACTCCCCATGATTATCTGGCAAAATTGTGGCTCTTTGTAGTTGATGTTTCACTACTTTCTTATTTTGAATTGCCTTTAAAAAAAAGATTTCACTCGGTTAATTTCTGAAATGTGAGTTGTGTTGCAAAAGGGCAAAAGCATATTGTTGATGTTAGGGGAGATTATACTGCCGTCCTGAATGGTTTCTTGAATAGAATGTTGGGTTTGAATTTATGATTTGCATTTATTTGAATTTAAGACAATCAGACGCCCAATTGCTGCCCAACGAATTTTTTTTTTAAAATTGAATAAAAAAAAAAAAAACACAATTATTTGGAGATGGCTTGCGAGCCGGCTCAAAATATGCCAAACCCATTACCGAGCCGAGCCACATAATTTATGGCTTGGCTCGGCTCGGTCTCGGCTCATTTAGTCTTTCTCTCTCACGAGCCGAGCTCGTTAAGCTGAAAACTCAACTCAACTCGGCTCGATAATACCCCTAGGTCCACTGGTCTCTGAAAAGGGTTTAAGAAAACCAAACCTTTGAATTTAAGTGTACTAGGCTTTTTTTTCTAAGCACTGAACGGCTTTGAAACTCTTTTTGTTGAGTTAATTCTTCAATTGGGTCCATTTAGGTCTTGTTGGGTTTCCTTAACAAAAGTGGGCATCAATATTACGATTTGACTGAAAAACTGAATTGTCCCCCAACTTACTTGATATAATTTCCTTAATTTTTTTAATATAAAGGAATTATAAATCCCCTTAATAAGAGATATGTAATTAAAAAAAAAACAATGGATATTCAAAACATTAAACTAGAGGGGCCTATAATAATATTTCTTAAACAAACCACTCTTAAAGAATCCCCCTAACCTTTTCCCTCTCTTGTACAGGGTATCAACTAGGCATAATTTTATTTATCCTAACATGGTAGATTCTTCATCTTCTCAGTTTGAACCTCAATTTTTCCAGAGATTTAAATGATAGAGAATCTCAATAGTCTGGTGATCTTTTCCTTCTTTTGGAGGGTGTTTCTTTTAATGAAATGGAGGAAGATAAGAAATTTTCGCTTCTAGAGAGGTCATCAATTTTTTTAATGTAATTTCTTATTTCCATAAGTTGATTGATTCTTCAAGCATCTTTATTTTTTAGCCCTCAAAGAGTGATTTGGAAAGCTAAAATCCCAAGCAAAATAAAATTTGTAGTATGGACAATAACTCATAGAAAAGTCAATACACTTGACATGATTTAAAGAAGAAGACCTTTTATAGCTCTATGTATTCTCCAATCTCCATATCTATCAAGGCAACAAGAAAGCGATTATATCTACAATTATGACTATTTTTTGGGTTTAAAGGCTGGACAGCTTATAATTTTTTTGTTGGTCAGCTTCTTGTTATTTTGTGTTCCCTATTTTCTCAATTCAAATTTTTTCTCCTACCAAAAGAGAGAGAAAAAATAAAACATTAATTTTCTGGGGGCATATGGTAATTACTTGGGTTTATATGCTAATTATTGAAACCTTGGGGTGACAAGAGAAGCCTGAAACCCAAGTAAAGTTTCCTTTTTTTCTCTTGTTTCAAGAAACCTCTCTTCAAGTTAAGGTTATTTATAACTATTCCCATCTCTTCCTTCGCATAGCTCTAGAATCTTCTTTTTCCATTAACCTTTCCCTTCAGATTTCGTACAATTCCACATTCCCACCTGTTAAGTTTGATAATTCAAACTTTTGATTGAAAGACTCTGATATTATTCGATCATCAGCTATGGTATGTTCCTTCAACTTCTTCTTTTTTTTCCTTTGAATTTTTTTTTTTGGATGTTGTGTGGATGATTTTACAATTTTGGAAGGAACATGTTTCTGGGTTCTTTGTTTTTTCATTTAATTTGGTCATTTTGATAAGCACGTTAGGAATTTTTTAAATTTATTATCATAATTTAACCACAATAAATGTTTTTAGAAATACTTGATTGATTGAAAGTTTCAATTTTGCCGCTTCATATTTGGCGAAGGTGGGCATTTGGGTTTGCAATTCTCTTGTTTGTTGTGCTTCTTGTTGCCTTTTATGAACTTCCTTTTGTGTATGTAAGAGGGAGGGATGGGGGGTTTGATATGCAACAATGTGGGATCAATGTGGTTATGGCTATCTACTGTATATTGAATATGATTAATATAAATTTCTTAGATACATTGTGGCCAGTAACATTGGTGAATCATGTGAAGTTATGTAAGAGAGGATTTGAACCATATTCTTTTTTGTTGATGATTTACCAAACCAATGCCTTGCCCGCCTTATTAGCACAATGGTAGAGCGGTCAGCGATTAGCTGACTGGTTTTTGGTTCCAGACCTACCTGGGAGATATGATTGATTCTGAATTGAAGAATTCTTTCTTTATTTTGCATTATATGTTATCGTATCACTTCTTATGTTTTGTGAAATTTGAAAATCATTGTCAATATAAGTATCTGTTTCTGCAGGCTGCAAAGATATTAGCCAATTTAATCATTATGGGCTCTGGGATATTGGCTAGGGCTGTAGTTCAAGCTTATCGTCAAGCACTTGCAAGTAAGTTATTTGGTTGGAATTGTTTTCTTAAAGTCTTTGACAGCATTACCTTCTCTGATATTCCCTATATATTTATGTATTTGCTTTTGCATCCATGACAATCCTGTTCCATTTAAGAGTAATAGCTCTTGCAGTCATATGTTTTCAAGGTTAGGGTTTAAAAGCAAGAATGTGATCATTTATGTCAATGCAATGGTAGACAAAGTAAAACTTAAGAGATAACTATTGTTAAGATATTTAAGATACATCATTGGGCAGGGTAGACTTAGTTTTCTATCTTTTCAGTATACTGTAAATAGAAAAACGGACATTAAGGAATCCTTAGCAGATGTATATAAGGATTAAATCTTTTTATTCTTTTCCTAAAATTGTGATGTAAAAACCAGACCAAACAAATTCTTTAAAGTACTATTACAATTTAGCAATAGGGGCACTTATATCCTCTTTTGTATTTGTGGACGTGGATATGTAAAAATGATGTGGTTTATGAATGAAGGTACTCTTTCACGCTTCTGGTTATATGAATTACATAAATGCAGCATGGCCTGATATATTATAGTCATTTATTAGTACCAGGTGTATTCCTGCATTCCTGCTCAAGTAAATAAACCTTGTCCTAGTGCCATCATGTGTCCCAAGTTTATCTCAACCAGTTTGTACTTGATATATAAATTGTAGGGGGAGAGTAATAAACTGTCAAAGTACATTTATTGTTATTTTTCTAGTCTTTTGGCGCGATTGTATTCTGATCTCTTTGCTAGATTTATTATTTGCCCTAACATTGATGGTTAAATATATTTCACCTGATGCTCGATTTGGTAAATTTATGATAATTTTTGTCATCCTGCGAAAAACTGTGGAATGCAAATTGATCTGCTGATTCATACTGAAAAAGTCAAAAGTTATAAGACACACAATACATAACAAAGGAGGAAACATCAACCTGTTATCCAAACTCAAGCAAGCTTTTTCTCTTAACCCTTTGCCCTTCCTCCTAGGGATGACAATTTGGTCGGGGTTGGTTGGGGATCACAATCTCCACTGATCCCCAATTTCCCAATACAGGGATGGGATAGGGATCCTTATGAGACCTGATCCTGTGATTTACTAGACATTTTTTTTTTTTTTGATCTGATGGACATGAAAGAGAATTTTTTTTTTTTTTTTTATTATTTTTTTTTTTTTGAAAAGAAGAAATTAATTGATGAGTTTAATTAAGAACTTTAGAGTATGCTAATTCTATCTTGTGAAGTTGCTTTTTCTTTGTTTCAGTAGCTAATAATTCAGTTTGCAGGCTATGAAAGAAAGCCACTAGCCACATCATTATTAGTTTAGAAAGTTCACTTGTTGACCTACATCGAAATTGGGCTTGAAACCCCTGCCATAGATTTATTCTCTAAGGTAACATTCATATATCTGAAATTTTTATTATCTTACATTCTGAGGATGATTAGCAAAGTCATAATCTCAAAAGAAAATGAAATTCCTTTCAAGAACTAGCTACATGAAAAAATTACAGTTGCACCCAGTTTCTAGTTTAAAAGCAATAACTTAAGTGCTTAAGAATTTGCCTTTAAGTCATTCCGCTACATATTGACTGGTATCATCAATATTATTGCTTGCACTTTCCCAATATCCAATGGACCAGCATCTCCAAAATCATCTATGGCATCTTTTGCTAGAACGATATTCATAGCTAGTTAGTCGCTACAATATATATGTAGCCACATATTTTATGCAATTTGGAATTTGATTATTGTAATTCAATCAAATATAGTTCATAGCTTGGAGTAGTGGTGATGACTTGGCTATAAAGGATGAGAAAAAAAATAAAAATAAACTGATATTGTTTGCTTAATTTTTATATTTATATTTAGTTTTCAAATTTCAGGATAGAGTGAGAATTCTTATTCTTGTCCCTGCTCCAATAAAAATTTGGGGACAAATCTTTCTCCCAATCCTCTTCCCACTGCATTTAGATTTTTGCCATCCCTACTTCCTCCTGCTACTTGAACTTCAACTAGATAAAGAAAAGTAATAGGTCTCGTATAAAATTCTTTAGATCCTGACCCAGACAGATGTTGATCTTGTACCATAGCAAATGACAGCCTTTCTAGTCTTTGTAGATATCCAGTTTCCATATACCTTCTCTGTTAATTTTATGGGTGGAATATTAATGCGGGCATAAGTTTTATTTTTTTCCTTTTTCATTTAAGTCATTTTTTTTTTAAATAAATAACTTGCTCTAGGGCAGTGTAGTAATAAAAAAATTATTAAAATGATGAGTATAGATATTAAATAGGTCTATGTAGACTCACCCATATACAAAAATTAGACATTACTTAGTTATTTACACACTACATAGACATTTTGTAAAGATGGAGATTATATTTGCATATTATCTGTCCAATTAGTGATGTAGGAGAGTAAGAGAGAATTAGAAAGATAAGATAGAATAGATAGAAACAGAAAGAAATAGAAAGGAGAAAGAAGACAAATAGGGATAATAGAAAAGGGACAGATTAGGGAGAACAGCCAGAAAGAAGAACTAAGAAAAAGGAGACAGAATAGAAAAACAGAAATTAGAAGGGGATAACAATCATATATGTTTTGACATGCATGTTTTGGAGTGTGACGCAATTAAAAGGATTACATTTATATGGTAGTCTAGCGTTGTGGTGGCTTTAGATTTTTGTCTATGTTCTAAATAACTAACATTTAGTTTATTGCAGATGCCTCTAAATCTGGTGTTGCCCAGGAGACACTACAAAATGCAGCTCGTAGGGCAAGCAAAGTGATGACAGAGCAAGAGGCTCGGCAGATTCTTGGTGTGACTGAAGAAATGCCTTGGGAGGAGATAGTGAAGGTCAGTTCTATCTATATTATTGGCAGTTCTCTTGTAGTTCTGTCTATGATTTGAATTCATTGTGTTAAACTTTTACTTCTGCTTTTGCAGAAATATGATAATTTATTTGAGAGGAATGCCAAGAATGGTAGCTTTTACCTTCAGTCAAAGGTTCACAGAGCAAAGGAATGTTTAGAAGACGTGTATCGAAGCAAAGCGGAGGGTGCTACCCCTAGTTGAGAATCCATCTTCAAGCTTAACCCACTGTGTGAATCATCCTCACCTTTGTATGATAAACGATTCTGCTATGGCAGATTCCCCCAAGTTAAAAATTGTATAAATAATTTTGTTTCGCTTATATGGTTGTTCGTTGAACCTCGTGTTAACAACCCGCATTAATCTAATCAATTAGTTTAAGGTTTGTTGTAATAAAACAAAGATCAGGGCCATCAATGATTTGATTTCTATAATGATCAAACTGTTTGAATGAATTATTGTGGTACTTAATAAGATTGATTTATTCTTTTTGGGTGCTGAAAGTTGTTTTACTTAATTTTAAACTAAACTTAGTGCTATGAATCATTGTGGTGCTCTTTTCTGCTTTCTGTTTTGGAAAGTTAAGTGCTTTTGGGAAAGCAAGCTTTTTTGCTTTGTTCTTAGCATCTTCTTCAACATTAATTTATTTTAAAGCCATTAATGAGTAATTGAACTAGCTGATTGCTTGCATTTTTATTTTCAAATGGGAATCTTTCACTGTTCTTGGTAGCTCAAGTAGTAATTTTGAAACATACTTGGGGATATGATTTATTTGGAATTATAGAATTCAGAGTGGCATCAGGCTGCAATCCCATCAGTTGATGAAAGAACGCACTTGTTTTCTTCATTGACTGGTTATATTGCAAATTTGCAATATGATAAACGGAAGACTCTTTTTAACGTTCTGCCCAATCACCAATATAAGTTTTCCTTCTATTGATTAAAAGAAAAAAAAAATTGAATAGATATCTCCATTTAAAAAAACAAAAAAATCAATGATTTATTTTTAGATAAAAAATAACATTTCAAAAATATTCTAATTTTTAATGGGAATAAGAAAATACAAACAATGATAAAACATGTTTATTAATTTCATATGTAATAAATTCCTTATAATATATAATTTCTGAGCCGAACCGGTTTTTTAGTCCTGGAAAATTCCCAAATTGAAACCGAAATGGTTTGGAGAAAAAACCGGTTTTTCGGTTAACTAAGAAACCGCTTAACCGTTTTAAAAAAACCTGTTAACCGATTTTCCCTTTTTTTTTTTTATAAAACTTATTTTTTTAATTTTTTTCTAAATTAAATTGTAAATATAAACAATACATATCTAAATAAAAATTAAATATTCATACATATTTATTGACCATTACTAACAATACATTAAAAATTGATACAAATAAAAGTTTGAAAGGAAATTATTTTTTTATTATATATATTTGTAAAACCGGTTTCGGTTAACCGTTTTTTAATTTTTTCCGAATCGGTAACCGAACCAAAAATCCGGTTTTTGAATTTTTCAAACCATAACCGAACCGTTTTTTCAGTTAACCGGTTTTTCAGTTCGGTTTTTACATTTTTTTGAACACCCCTATATACAGTATCTATTTGGAATATTATATGCTCATAAGACAAATTGACATGGAAATCCTACATGTTTAACACAAAATTAATTGGTTTCATTTATTTTTAATTTTAAGTCATACAATTATTGATATAAATATTATTTAAATTTTATAAACATAGATATTGTTTTTCACATTTAATAGTTTATTCTATACAATTAGCAGATTTCTCAAAGAAAGCATATTGAAATTGAATTTAATAATATGAATCACGCTAGTCTTCATATATTTTAATTTTCAATAATTTTTTTTACTTTCACTAATATTTTAGCATATTAAAATTTTTATTATCGAATGATACTAATATTATGCTTAGAAATATGATATATATTCAGTACTATAAAAGATATATTTATTTTTCTTTCCTCTATTCCAAATACTACCATAAAGAAGATACACCGGTAATAAAAAAATATTACATGAGATATTGAATTTAATTTAATTTCGAAATAATTTTGAAGCAACAAGACATTGAATTTATTTGATTTCTGTTCAAATATATTACATCCAAAATCATTAAAAAAAAAAAAAAAAAAGCTTAAAACTTACTCATAAAATTAGGTTAAGATTCAGTCACATCCAAAACAATTCAAGTTTCACAATCACAATAAATAATAAATAATCATTTAATTATAAACTTCTTTATGATTTACACTTTTTTTTAAAAAAAAGATTTAAGATAAAGAATATAAAAGGAAGACCTTACAGCCTCGCTCCAGCTTTTCACCAAGTAAAATTATTAATTTAATTTATAACAGATAAGAAGATATGACCAAGAAGCATTGCCACTAATTAATTAAATTAAACAATAATCTTGATTAAATGACTATAAAATACTGCTTACACATTTTATTCATGTCAAAATGATGAATTAAACGTGAAACTTATAAGATAATTCTAGTTTTCTATATTATTTTTTTATTAAAAAACAAAGTCAAAATTATCAAATTTTTTTTTTCAAAATGAAAAGACATAAATCAATGTAAATAAAGACAAAAAAACTTATAAATTTAGTTTTACTGAATTTCCATGATCATATGAGTACCAATTTGTTCTATTTATTTTATTTAAAAATGTCAAATTATATGATTGAATATGACATATTTATAAAATAATATAATTTATTATAACAACACAACATTAGCACACGAAATACTCGTGGCTTTTAGAGCATGGGTTACTTAATAAGCTTATGTTTCTCCATGTAAGTTGTCACTTTAACTTCTAATATGATGTCATTTCTACTCCCACTGCTATAAATTTTGATCAATTAATGTATCATATCCAATTATCCTTCGGAGTGCTAAAGACCGGATAAATCTTCTATTAATCATTTTTATTAACAATTGTGAGGAATCAAACTTAATTCTTTTTTAATAATATATCTAAGAACCCTTATCGTCTCATCTGATTATCAAGGATGATTAAATATCATCTTATATTTAAAAAAATATTTGTATTAAGTTATATATCATACCTAAAAAAATGTTATTTGAGCAAGAATTAAAACAATAAATTAAGTTTCAGTGAATAAACTCCCTTGAACTGTCGTGACAATGATGGATATAAATTAATTAATTATCTTGAGGAAAGTAATTTTGTTGGTAATAAATACGATCATAATAATCAGAATAAAAAAAAAAAAAAATAGATACCTTAATTCGCTGCGTGTAAGTTGCGCTGTCTTTTTTCAATTTTAATTATTCAGAGTGTTTCTCTCTCTCCCATTTTATAGAAAGAATAACAAACAAACAATTAACTCCAACTCAAAACCAAACGCAACCCGACCAACTCAATACACAGACTCCTCTCCTGTTTCTTGGTAAGCATTTTTTATTTATTTTATTTTTACCATTTTAATATCATTAAGACCATTAATTTAGCTTCAGATCTGCCCTTCATTTCCATTCCTATTCCGCTCAATTCATTCAGGTTTCATCTTTTTTTCCGCTTTTTCGGATCTGGGTTCGTTTCAATTTCCCCAATTGTGTTTGTTTTAGATCTCAAGTTTTCGTTTTTGAATCTGAATCAGCTCATTTCTGGTCAATTTGATTTTGATTGATTTAGATCATGTCATTTTCGAATGTCGAATTTATTATTTTTTGTTTTGTTTAATCTGGGTGTGATTGAAATCTTTGTTTTTGTGAATTTAAGAAGTGGTGTGCTGCAATTTTATTAGTTTTTTTCATATGGATTTTTTCTTGGATCTCTTAAAGATTAAGTGGGTGACGTATGATTTTTAATTCCTTTAATTTATTTATTTTTAATTGTATGGATTAATATTTGAATCATGTATTGGAAATTGATATTTGATGTTTGAATTGGGACATAATTTATTGTCTTTTATATATTTATTTATTTTTTACAAGCAATTGATGGTGGCAATTATTTTTGTTTAAGACTTTGTTTCAGGTAGATTATGAAGCTTGGCGTTATGATTTCTATTTCTTATTTGTATATTTATATCTGTTACAACATGGTTATAATGTGTGAATGAAACGGGGCTTGTTTTAATGAGTTTGAAGTTCCGCGCTTGTTGCTGATTTGTTTTGGAAAGGTTTCTGCGGTTCATAATTGTTATGGTTTCATTCTTATAGCCGGCACTTAACCTGTTTATGTTTTGAAACAGTGCATAAAATAGATTTTGAAGCGAGCTTGTCTTCATTTGAATTGGAGGGGAGCAATTAGAACAACTACTGGAAGAGCACTGAGTATTGTTGGACATAGCCGGCGATGAAGAAAGTCTTCGATCAAACTGTCAGGGATCTGTAAGTTTGAGAATAATTTTAATAAGTAGTTAGTATTACGGTAGCCTCATTGATATTCAAATGTTTCACATCTCTATAAGAATCGATTGTTACCTAAATTTATCTGTACTGGAGTTAAACTTTCTCTTTTGATAGTTTTTGATGGCACAACACTTTTACAATCCAGAACCACTTAGTTCATTGGCCCTTGTCTTAATTTTTTTTGTCGGGTGTTGGTTCATTAAATCCTAGAGAATCTGTAAACATTTTGGCTAATTATTTTCTATTTTCTATTTTCTTGCAGTAAGAGAGAAGTTAATAAGAAAGTGCTTAAAGTTCCTGGAATTGAACAGAAGGTAGAAATTTCTCCTTTTTTTTTTTTTGGCTATATGTTCTACATCTGTTTAGTTAATCATGGCTATTTAGGTTGTTTTTGCAATTGACCTCGATGAGGTTGTTTTTAAATTCTGTATTAATAATATACTTTGATAATGCAATATCCTTCATAATTTCTTGAGCTCATTGTTTTTGTTGCACAAATTAGTTCATAGTATGCCCTTAAATTTGACACCCTGTGTGCCTAGCATAGAAGCATGTGATAAATAGGTGTAATTTTTTTTTTTTTTTTCCAGGTTCTTGATGCTACCAGCAACGAGCCATGGGGTCCTCATGGAACACTTCTTGCAGATATTGCACAGGCTACCAGGAACTAGTAAGCTTGAACATTTAATTTATGTGTGCTTTGCTTTCTCTCTCCTAGTTTGGTACAAAAGAATTCATTGGTGAAGCATTTTTGCAGTCATGAATACCAGATGATTATGTCAGTAATTTGGAAGCGGATTAATGACACTGGAAAGAATTGGCGGCATGTGTACAAGGTTAGCATTTCTTTGGATGTGTTAGTTGCATTAAGTGGCTTATCTAATTGTTCTTCTTCCTGCATCTTCTGTTGGGTTTTTCTGATTTTCTTCCCAATTTTCTGTCTTATAACTGTTGATTATTCCCTTTATTCGAATTTTTGTTTGTGGTGCTTATCTTTTGATTCATACACCTTGCATGTTTTCTGTTGCTTTCTCACAGATTCTGGTAATAATAGAACTGAATTTTTTTTTTTTTTTTTTGTACTGATCTTCAGGCTTTGACAGTTTTGGAATATCTAGTAGCCCATGGGTCAGAGCGTGTAATAGATGATATCAGAGAACACGCATATCAAATATCAGTAATGATCAGTTCCTTAATGCTATTTGACAGCTATAATTTTTCAATATATGCTTTAAACCCTCTCTTAGGATATTTATATTATTTTCTAAAAACTATTGTTTTCCCATTTGCAGACATTGTCCGATTTCCAATATATTGATTCCAGTGGAAGGGATCAAGGTAACAACGTCAGAAGGAAATCCCAGAGCCTTGTGGCCCTAGTAAATGATAAGGAGAGGATATTAGAAGTTAGACAGAAGGCTGCTGCTAATAGGGACAAGTGAGTCTGATCTATTAAGATATTCAGCTCAAATGCTTTTTCTTGGAATTCCAAGTGTTGGCTTCTTTCAGTGTTTCTTTCTAATGTTGAAATCAAACCATCTCATAGAAATTTTATTTTCTTTTGTTTTTTAAATTGTATACCATATTATGCTTTCTTGCAAAAGAGAATGTCATTTTCAATTGGTACTCACATGCCGAAAGAGAATAATCTTACTTTTTAGTGTTTTGCAAGGTATAGTTTATTTCCACTTTCTGTTTATAAGTTGCTTGTTTTTTGTGGTATCCGTGGAGGCATGGAATATGGATCGCTCATCACTTAGAGACAATTGTTTATTTTAGAAATACTTTTGAGTGTTGCTTCTACTGCTAGCATCTTTGATGAGCAGCGTAATATAAAACCGAAGTAGGATGGTGGGAAACTTTTTTTTCTCTGTGTTTCGAGTAATTGCTAGTTTTTGCTTTTATATCTTTTCATGACTGTTTGAATGAAAGAATGCTACTGCATTCTTTTCAGTTCTCATTTTGTGTAGGATAGGCTAGGATTTGTGGCCGCACCATTAGGGTGGGTTATGATAAGATATGGCAGAATTTGTTATAATCCTACTTGTGATGAACTATAATACTACCTTTGTAATATGCGAACCGAAATTGTGTTATATTCATATTGTACAATTTAAAGAATAAAAGAAAATATTTAGTTTAAAATATTGGGAAGATTTAAATGTTATAAAAAAGTCCATTTCAAGGATTGGCATGGTGAGGATGCCACTTAATTTGAGGGTCAAGTGCTCTAGAATATCTAATAAGACTTGTAAGCTGCAAAAGTTGGTCTTTACATTTTCGTTGACACCAAGTTCTTGCAACTTGATTAGGATCCACATCTGTTGCTGCTGTGAAGATATAGCAGCTACATTATGCCCTCAACAGTTCACAAACCTTTTAAGGGGTTACATAAAGTCACAACTTGCATTTCTTGCATAGAGCAGTTGCTGTTGGTGTTATTATATGCTTAGGTTGCATGGGCAATATGAATGTAGGAGAGCGTATTTAATTTGTGGATTTATTGTTTGCTTCTTATTCAGAGGAAATGGAGGTTCTGAGTGATATATAACTTTTTTTGTTGAACAGATTTCGCAGCCCATCAGCAGGTGGAATGTATCGTCCAGGAGGATATGGTGACAAATATGATTATGATCGTTATGAAGGCCGCTCTGGAAGCAGGGATGATGATATTGGATATGGAAGAGAGAGGGATTATGGGTATAAAGATGATGATCGGTATAGCAGAAATGGAGACTCCTATGGTCGTGATGGCGATCGTTATGGCAGAGATTATGAAGATCGCTATGGCGGAGATGGGTACAGGGATGATGATTACCGCGGAAGGAGTAGAAGCGTTGACCGTTACCAAGATGGCTCAAGCAGGAGCTCTGATAGAAACCAGGATGATGATGGTCAATCAGCAAGTCGGTATGTATTAAGTTTTGTAAAGAATGATTTACAATTTTATCCTGATCAAAAGAATTAAGGGTCTGTTTGGCTTATTATTTCTACCCATATTCCCAATCCTATTCCCCAAATATTGTTTGGCACATTATTCCAGAAATATTAGTCTATTTTTTTAATTACTTTTAGACCCCTTAAGCTTATTAATTTCACTAAATACCCCCAGAAAAAAAGTTTAAAAATTAGCAAAAACACCCCCACCCGCCAATACTTGCTAGATTCCGGCAACCACCGTCGGTGGTAGCTGGAGTCTGTCACAATAGTCACACCACCACCGGAAATGGCCGGTAATTCACTGATCTGGCTGTCAGCGACGGCCAAAGAAATAGCCATCGTTGATGGTCAACGACGGTCATAAAATGGACCTTTGCGGCCGTCGACGGCCACATTTGGCCGTAGATCTGGCCTTTTCCGGTCAGATCCATGGTGGATCTGGCCGGAAAAGGCCATATCGACGTGTTACGACACAGATCCGACCGATCTGTGTTGTAACGCAATTTTTCGGCCAGTTCCGGCGGTGGTGGCCGGGATCTAGCACTGCGGGTGGTGGGGGTGTTTTTGTCATTTTATATATTGGGGTGTTTAATTAAATTAGCAAACTTAGGGGGTTCCCCTATTCAACTATCCAATACTATCCCCAAAATCCTATCCAAAATAATAAACCAAACGCACCCTAATAAAATTCCACCGTTTTTGTTCTGTTGGCAGGCAACTTGAGCGGAAATTTTCTGAACAAAATATTGGTGGTCCTCCTAGTTATGAAGAAGCATTAAGTGAATCTCGAAGTCCTGCTCGCAGCGATAGGTATTTATTTATGTTATAGAAATGCAGTGATATATTTCTCACAATTTTATTCGACTATGGTCAGTTCTAACTCCTATTTTGCTTAAAGGGATGGAGAAAATTCAGCAGCACCTGTTCCTAAAACTTCTTCTCCACCTGCTCCTGCAACTTCTTCTCCACCTTCTGCTTCCGGAGCATTTCCTCCACCTGTTCATCCAGCAGCTTCTTCTCCAACCGCTGCTCCTTCAACTTCTCCACCTGCAAGCCATAGTCCAATCCAAGGAACTAACTCATTCAACAATTCTACATCTGGGAACGATGAAGTTTTGGCTTTTGATGAATTCGATCCACGTAATTCATTTTCAGGTACACTAATTCCTGTATAGGTGTTATTGTTTTGTCCAAATCATGAAGTGCCTTGTTGTAGTGTCTTTTTCTGCTGTTACATTTAGACCTCATAAATTCTCATAGTTACAACTTTCAAAATGGACACTGGGTTGATAGTATTTTTTTGTCCATTTTAATTTATTATTCAAATATGAGCTCACTTTTTTGGTTCCAATTTTGTGATAGGGGTCTCGACTTGAGAGTATGTTCTTTTTTATTTGTAATTTGTTGCATCAGTTCTTTTATATTCCAGTTCAATTATGACTGTCTTTAGTTGTGGACAGCATATGTTCATTGTAGTTTCCATACTTGCAGCATATGAGAATATATATATACAGAAAAATCCCTGATACTTTTCAAGTGCTGAGTTAAGTTAATTCATCTTGGTGATTGCTTCAGGTTTTGGGTGGGCATGTGTCAATGGCACTGAAATTGAATTTAGTATCAAATATAAACACAAGTTCAGAGAATAAGTTAATTCATTTGGAGGATTTGGCTGGTATTTAAGTCTAGGCTTCAGTTGTCATGGAAACTTTCAGCTTGATAAAATATGAATTAATTTTGGCCCAGATCCATTTTGCTACGAGGAGCAATTTATAAAAAATTTGCATGATGGAGAAGAAGACACGACAGCCTGACAATAGGGAAAAGGCTGTTCTAGTTTTCCCTTTTCAATAAATTTTTTGTTTTTCAGTAAAATGACTGGTATCCTCTTGTGAGATATGATGCACTGTTATTGACAGCTGATTGGGGCTTTCTGTCTGTGGAAATAGTTTTCTTGAAGAGCTAAGATTGTTTCTATGTTTCTGCTACCTTACAATGATCCTCCAATATTGGGAACTCATATTTTCTTCTTTTCTTTTATCAGCTGCCCCTACTGTTTCAAGCACTCCTGCCCCTACTACCTCCAATGGTGCTGAAATGGATCTGCTTGGCTCTCTGTCAGACTCGTTTTCTTCAAATGCATTGGCCATTATGCCAGCCATGCCTGCAACTGCCAGTACTGAAGCTGATGCACACGCTAATACTGGTTCAGTACCCACATTCGCTGCAACGCAATCACCATCTAACATGATGAATCAGGTTATTTTGATATGTTTAATAGATCGTCTTGAAATCCATTTTCCTTGGGTTGATATGTTATATAAGGCAGAGATTTATTGGTTCAGAGCAAGTTTAATTTCTCTTGTAAGTGATATCTGTGGATACTTATTGATTTGCCATTTAATGGTGTAACCATCATATGGTTTTGAATATTTAAACAACAAATTCAGTTGTTGGAACCCTTAAAGCACTGTATTTCAGTTAATTAGGAAAAAGAAACTTTTAGTGAGAAAAATGTTAGCGATAAGTTTGCGAGGTGTCGGTGTTTTTCATTTATGTAATGGTCTAATTCTCATGGAATCCAAGTACTTGCTATAAACATGGACAAGAAAGATATAATTTGTTGAATGTTAGACATCTGGTCTTCTTCTCTATTAATTTCAAAAATGATATTGTAGTATCTGTAGATTGTGAAGATAACTTCCTCAAGATAAATTAAACAAAGATAAAACGTTTCTGAGAAATGTCTTAAAACTTAAAATATTAGTGAATAATTTCATTTCTGTGGTATTTCCATGTGCATACTATTATTGCTGACTAATAAGATGTGTTTCCTTCAAGGTAAGAAATATAATATTCATCATGCACTTTCTTTGTTTATTTTGCTGATGGTTCATATAGTGCTTAAGGATTATGAAGATATTTATTGTAATGTTTTACTACATGATTGAGAGGCTAGGTCAATGAGAAAAGGTGGCTTGTAATTTCTGCGGAAGAATTGTATTTGTTTTGTTTATTTATTTTTAATTCTTTTGTCATATTATTATAGTTGTTAAATGAGCATATTTTCTTCTGTGTAGTCATTTGATGATCCATTTGGGGACTCGCCTTTTAGAGCTATCCCTTCTACAGATTCTGCCACAGTTCAGCAACCAATTTCAGCATCAACAGCTTCTTTCCAACCAAGTCAAAATGCCGAAATGCCCCAGCCAGCTGCCCCCAACATGGAATCAGTACCCAACTTTGGGGACTCATTATACGGCGTTACATACTCATCAAGTGACTCCAATAGTCAACCTCCCTCAGCAAACTCACAGTTTTTGCCTCAAGAACTATTGATGTCACAGCTGGAGACTGATATTCTGGCAGACATCCTTCCTCCATCAGGACCTTCACCATCTGTAGCATCACAGGTTGCCTTTTCAGCTCCGGCGGGCCAGCCTGCACCAACCCCTGATATTTATGGGAGTCAGCCTGCACAACTTACTGCTAATATGTATGGAAAACAGCCTGCACAACGTACTGCTAATATGTATGGAAACCAGCCTGCACAACGTACTGCTAATATGTATGGAAACCAGCCTGCACAGCCAACTGCTAATATGTATGGGAACCAACCTACACAGCCAACTGCTGATATGTATGTGAACCAGACTGCACAGCCAACCACTAATATGTATGGGAGCTTTCATCACCAGCCAGGATCGACCAGTCAAGTAGCCCCAAACATAGCCCCTCAATCCCCATCTGGTTCAGTTGCACAGCTTAGCAGTGGGACCTTTGCACTGCAGGGCACTTCTACTGCCCCTGTTGCTTCATACATGGCTCCTCAAACTCCAGCTGGACCAGCTGCACAGTTTAACAGTGGAAACTTTCTACCACATCAGAGTTCTGCAGTTCCTTCTACTCCACAAATTCCTCAACAAACTCCACCTAATCCACTTGCACAGCAGAACAGTAATTTACAGAATAACCTTCTTTCTCAAGCAGGACAAAGCCCTACGATAGCTTCACAACCATCTCTTTCATCTTCAACAGGGGCGCTCACTTTAGTACCACAATCTCAATCATCCAAGGAAAAGTTTGAGCTGAAGTCAGCAGTTTGGGCCGACACTCTTAGCAGAGGGCTAGTTAATTTGAATATTTCTGGACGTGAGTGCTTTCATAAGTCACAAAATGTAGTACCACAATTTTTTGTATTTAATGCGTCTTGCTTGGAAGTTTGACATCATATATCTTTCTGTGCAGCTAAGACAAATCCTACGGCAGACATTGGAATTGATTTTGATGCCATCAATCGGAAAGAAAAGAGGATGGAAAAGAAACCTCCACAAACTCAGGTAACATCTACTGTTACCATGGGTAAAGCTATGGGATCTGGTTCTGGGTTAGGCCGTGCTGGAGCTAGTGCTGTACGGCCTTCAAATCCTATGATGGGTTCTGGCATGGGAATGGGCATGGGCAGTGGCCCTGGTATGGGTATGGGCATGGGTGGTGGTCAGAGTATGGGAATGGGCATGGGCATGGGTGGTGGCCGGGGTATTGGCGTGGGTATGGGCATGGGCGGTGGTCAGGGTATGAGTATGGGCATGGGCATTGGTGGTGGTTCAGGAATGGGCATGGGAAGCTATGGAGGCATGAACCAACCAATGGGAATGGGTATGGGGATGGGAATGAATAACGGCATGAATATGGGTGTTGGGATGAATATGGGAATTGGGCAAGGAGTTCAGATGCAACCGCAAACTGGGATGCCTCCTGGCACAACTATGCCCGGTGGTTATAGGCCCATGACAGGTACAGGTGGTTATACTCAACAACCATACGGTGGTAGCTACCGATGAGACAAAGCAACCTACCTATACAGAAGTGGGGAGGCTAGTAGATACATGTTACATTTTGAGGTAAAAATGTTTGGCATAGCAAATCTAGTTTTGTCATCATTCATTTGATTATGATAAACTTCTAGTTACATATATATGGTTTTGAGAGCTGTAATTTCTTTATCAACGGTTGTAATTTTTTGAGGTGTGGCCCGATGTTGTTTTTGTCGTTTATCTCGTTACACCTCAGTCCTTTCGGGCCACGGTAGGTGTTTCGCTAAATTTGCTCTCTTCAGCTGTTGTGAAGTTCTGTACCAGTGAGGAAAACCTTTTGTATTAGGTTGTCTCTTTTCTTTCCTTACATTCTTTGTGATTTTGAAAAAAAAAATCTACGGTATGTGTTCACTATTACACTGAACAATAAATTTCATAATTCATTTTTGTACTTTGATTTGTTTCTTATTAGTTAATTTGCTTTTTCATGAGTTTTGAGTTTCAAGGACTGAAGTAAAACATTAAAATCTGAACAATCTATGAATGTGTCACCGCCGTTAAGTGTTTTGGTTAATCTGTATCTGTATGTTGAATACTTTTATACGTACAAATTGATGTAATATTACTTACTACACTGTTTTACATTTAATTTTCTATTTATTACCAAATATTTTTATTATTCATATGCGAATACAAATTTCTTAACCAACTCTTGGGTGGTCGAGTGATTCGATGGGGACTTTTAGGTGTATTATTGAAGAGGTTTTGAGTTCGATTCCTTTCTTGGTAATAGAGGTGGTCATTGAAGTTTTTACCCATCCGATAGTTTCAGAGTCTTGGGAGATTTGTAGAGGTTTGCGTAAGTTCTAGACACCTTCGATCATTAAAAAAAAATATAGATTTCTTTAACTTGATTGAGCTGAGATTCTCTTATTTATAAGAACTGAGTCAAGAGAATGAGCGCTTCCTGTCTTCAGATAACCAACACCATTAGAACTCAGGAATTCAATTGATTCTTATCACTCTTGAAGAGTTTATATTGCCATACCATTGAAACATAACCATTGATTAATACTTTAATTCCAAAAAACGAATAAATTAATGTTGTATCACTTTAGATTTAATAATTGAGGTACAAACTTGTGATATATCGTACTATATTAATCAATACACCTAATGTCATAAGAAAATTAGGAGAACATATTTAATCCGAAGAAAACAGGGAAGAATATAAAAATGGATTTCCAATATGCACTATTCCTGTAGAAGCGTGCACCATTCTTGTAGGGGGGGATATACTTTTATGTTTACGGTTTCAGGCCTAGCTGTTTTCACTGCCAGAAAACATGCTTGTCCCATGCATGCAAAGCGTCCGCAAAGAGGAAAATTGTGTCGGAGTTAATCCTTTTCAAAGCATTTTAATGCGTCGGTTTAAATTCATAGGCGTTGGTTTAAATTCATAGGGAATAGTGTATATAGATGTCGACAACTTTGTCAATGTTACATCGGTGTTCAAAACTCTAACACTGACTCAGTCGTATGTCGACGTTTTATAATATAGAATGCCTGTGGCTTAAACAAAGTGTCGACGCTACAATGGCGTTGGGATATTATATTCTCCCCACGCCTTAGTGGTGTTGGGAGATTGCAAGGATTTTCTCCTTGCGATCTGCTCATGCCACAATATTATTGAAATATCCCTACTCCACAATGTTCTCATAAGTAAAAATAGAATAACCATTTGAGTAGCATCCCATTGTTTTAACTTAAAAATTCACTTAAGAATTTATGGATGTCGGAGAGTTGCAACTTGCAACAATGGCAACTTGCGGCGAACAGTGGCCTTGGCAAAGAAAGAAAGAAAGTAGGGGCAAATGATAAAAGGCCTTATTGACCTTCAATTTAATAAAAAGCCATTAGTTTTTAGTCTTTACTAAAAAATATATTTTTTACTAAGACAAACTAATAATAATACACTAATTGATTAATTAGGATTAATGTAGTATTGTGTAATCTTTAAAAATTATATATGTCCCCAAAAACTGAAATTATTGCAAACAACCCAAACATAACATCCTTCTTTTTCCCCCCGCCATAACGCATCGCCCCCTAGTTGTTTATTCTAAGCTTGTCTACATCTTCTTTCTCCTTCCTGTACAACTTCTTCTTGCCATTAACACTATCTTCTTCCTCTCATTAACATCTTCTCCGCCACAGATTCGCTCCTCCTTCTCCTGACATTTCGTCCAGGTATGTGTATCTCCCCTTTCCATTTTATATTTTGATTTACAAAGATTTAATGATGATTGAGTTTGGGTTATGATTTTGATTTAGTTGTTTAGGTTGTTGGGTTGTGTTTGATGTAATGCAAGTTGAAAGGGTGAAATTTGTTGAATATTTTCTTGCATGTGGGTAGTTAGGGGTGTGAATAACTGTTCATACTAGGATACGTATAGAAATACATCAAGTAAATATATTTATATGCAAAAGTAAATGGGCCCACAATTTTCTTTTAATACATTTAATCATTCTTTATAAAAAGTAAGGCCATAAGTAAAAGTTATCAAAAACAGTGGACAGTGTAGCTATTACTCTCCGCTTGCCGATGCATCCGACCGCGTCCTCACCTAGATCCTGCAAACACAAAGAAAAACAACGGGGTGAGCACAAAATAATGCTCAGTAAGTAAATCCTCTACTCGTCTATCCCCGTAACTCTTTCTCTTAATTCTTTCCTTACACTCTTCTCATCTCATTTATTTTCTCTTTCTGTTTCTCTTTCACATAGCTCTTTTCTATTAATTTCTGTTGATGTCACCAGCCTTCTTACTGGAGGCACGGCTGAGTGGAGATCACAAAGCACCCACCCACTCTTCGTGACTTCTACTATTCTTTCCTTTATTCTTTTCATTTTTCTCATTCTTTCTCACTTGAATGTCACGACCTCATCTTACGGAGGCACGGCGGGTGGAGTTCACAAGCACCAACCCACTCTTCGTGACTTCGGTTGGAGTACAAAGCACCAACCATTCTTCATAACTTCCGTGTGGAGTTACAAAGCACCAACCCATTCTTAGATTTTCTCATTCTCTTTACTTTAGAGTAGCCCATTCACAAACTTCTCTACTCTTTCTCAAACTACTTCTCAATGCACAATTAATGCATAGGATGGTTCATGCTTAAAGTTTCTTACTTAATGCACTTATGAAATGCACAAATGCAATATTGCATCAAAACTGTCATTCTGCGCAGGTCACACTCAAGAAGGCATAACTTGAGTTATACAACTCGGATTGCTACGGTTTTGGTCTCGTTGTAAAGCTTAGAACAGGGCTATAACTTCTGTGTTTTGGTCTCAGCCCAGTTCAATCATGAGGTGCCCAAAAATCACTTAGAAAGTCACGGCAATGACGGGCAGTTTTCACTTAGACATTTATCAAACATTAATTGTGCATAAACAAACCCTAATTCAATTATCATTCTATTTAGTTCTAAACCATCCAAAATGAGAGAAAAACTCTCTTGTAGCATCACATACCTACATGGCAAACACACTCCACAAAAATTTCTCAATTCTCCCAATTTCAACCCATATCAAATCATCACATACTTTCTCATATTCAAATATATCCAACAACAAGCATAATTCATCATCTCTCATCTCAATTTCTCAATAATCACAACATATGCATATTTAGAAGAAATCTCTACTCACTTGAATTCTTAAATTTTAGCTTGAGTTGGATTTTGAGTGGAATTTACTTACCTTGTGCTTGAGTAGTCTCTCCTAAGCTCTCTATTCTTGTTGGATTCCAATCTTCTCTTAACCTAAGCATAAACTTCATAAGACTCAACCTTTACACGAATAAATCATAGATAAAGAGCTTGAATCTTACCTTTGATGCCTTGAATCAAAACCCTATGAAAATCTACTCAAAAGCCCTCAAATTCCTTGAAAAGTGAATGAAAATTTGAGAGAAAAAAGGAGGAGGAGTGTGGGGGGGTGGAATGAACGAAAATGAGGGTTTCAAACCCTTAACACTTTAATTTATAACCACACTTTCCATTTGCCCTTGCTCTTTCTTAGAAATTCCATCTATGTCCCGTCAATTACAAAAAATGCCCCTCATTTTTAATGCATTCTCTATTAAATTCTATCTCTTTTTACTCCCCACAAGTTCAACTAATTTTGAGTAAAAAGACCATTTTACCCCTAATGAAAGTTTAAGGGATTTTCTCTACATTTTTCTCAAAATAACTTTAACAAAAATTCAACTAAGGGCCAACCAACCAATATTAACAATATATCGACCCAAATAAAAGCAAAACAATAAACATTTAAGCAATACACCATAACTTAACTATGTACCTCAAGTGGGGCGTTACAGGGTGGTAGCACTGATTGTAGGTGGAGATGACTGAAAATGTGTTCTGGATCTGATGGATCGCCTAAGCGATCTGGTATGTCGTATAATGCAGAAGATTGAAGATTGCTTAAGCGATCAGGTATATGGCATCAGATCGCTTAAACGATCTTCTTTAAGTCTGATATATGGCCGCAGATCGCTTAAGCGATCAGGTATATGTTATAAGATCGCTTAAGCGACCAGACTTATTTATACCAGATTGCTTAAGCGATATATTGGATCACTTAAGCGATCCAGTAAGCGATATAGTAGATCGCTTAAGCGATACACCACATTGCTTAAGCGACTCTATAGATCTTTTTTAAAATCTGTCAACCTTTAATATATCAGTTAATAATTTTTGTTTTCTTGCATTATAGGTACTTGACTATTATTAGACGTGAGACAAATTGTTTAGGGTGTTGAATATTTTGATGAGTGGGTGGAGGAAGAAAGTTGCTGGAAGTGGATTGGGAACAACAAACAAGTTAAACCAATTGCAGTGAGTACAGAAGTTAGTTTTGATGAGTTGATTGATGAAATCATTAGAAGAGGTGGGTTGAGTTGCTGAGGTGGTGATATAGTTATGAAGTATGTTTTAAATAATTTTTTAAAAACATACAGCTCTTGCCATCACAATAAATTTTTCAACACAACAACTATATCCTGTAAATGTGTGATGACATTACATTTGTGTTTTGAGAAGCTTGAATAAATCATCCTTTATATCATATTAAATAAAATTAATTATTTTTAACTTTCATCCATTTTAAATATTATCAAAATAATTGTCGTGTCAAATCAATTAATTTACTGAATTAGTCACGAGTGAGCTGTAAAAAGTAACACCAAGCCCAAGGTTACTGCATTAGTCAGACACTCTCTTGGTCTACAGAGTGCAAAGCAAATGGTTGCAGAGTTCAATTTTATATAAATATTATATTTATTTATATATTATTTTCTTGCCAAGAACTAATAAAAATAATAGAATAACAATAGATCATTTAGTTTTATGTATGGTGCTGACTAACAAAGACCGAAGTGTTATTTTCAC